TTGGGTAGTTCTAGAGATCGGATTTCACTCAAACTTAACCAAATGACTCCTCCCACCGTATTATGATGTTGCCCAAGTTTTCGGCTTGATCCGAAATCAATATGTGTTAGAAATTGGACAATTCAAGTTCAAAGGCAGTTCGTTAATAATTGGAGTGGTTGGTGTTTTGGGTAGTTTTAGAGATAGGATTTCACTCAAACTTAACCAAATGACTCCTCCCACCATATTATGATGTTGACCAAGTTTTGGGCTCGATCCGAAATCAAAAGGTGTAAGAAATTGGACAATTCAAGTTCAATGGCAGTTCGTTCCTAATTGGGGTGGTTGGTGTATTGTGTAGTTCTAGAGATCCGATTGCACTCAAAATTAACCAAATGACTTCTCCCACCATAGTATGACGTTGGCCAAGTTTTGGGCTGGATCCGAAATCAATAGGTGTAAGAAAATGGACAATTCAAGTTCAAAGGCAGTTCGTTCCTAATTGGAGTGGTTGGTGTTTTGGGTAGTTCTAGATATCGGATTTGACTAAAACTTAACAAAAAGACTCCTCCCACCATATTATGATGTTGCCCACGTTTTGGGCTCGATCTGAAATCAATAGGTGTAAGAAATTGGACAATTTATGTTCAAAGGCAATTCGTTTCTAATAGAAGTGGTTGGTGTTTTCGGTAGTTCTAAAGATCGGATTTCATTCAAACTTAACCAAACGACTCCTCCCACCGTATTATGATGTTGCCCAAGTTTTGGGTTCGATCCGAAATCAATAGGTTTAAGAAATTGGACAATTTATGTTCAAAGGCAGTTCGTTCCTAATCGGAGTGGGTGGGGTATTACGTAGTTCTAGAGATCGGATTTCACTGAAAACTAACCAAATGACTCCTCCCACCATATTTTGATGTTGCCCAAGTTTTGGGCTCTATCCGAAATCAATAGGTGTAAAAAATTGGAAAATTCAAGTTCAAAGGAAGTTCGTTCCTAGTTGGAGTGGTTGTTGTTTTGGGTAGTTCGAGATATCGGATTTCACTCAAACTTACCCAAATGACTCCCCCCACCGTATTATGATGTTGCCCAAGTTTTGGGCTCGATCCGAAATCAATAGGTCTAAGAAATTGGGCAATTCAAGTACAAAGGCAGTTCGTTCCTAATTGGGGTGGTTGGTGTTTTTGGTAGTTCTAGAGATCGGATTTCACTCAAACTTAACCAAATGACTCCTCCCACCATATTATGATGTTGCCCATATTTTGGGCTCGATCCGAAATCAATAGGTGTAAGAAATTGGACAATTTATGTTCAAAGGCAGTTCGTTCGTAATTGGATTGGTTGGTGTTTTGGGTAATTCTAGAGGTCGGATTTCACTCAAACTTAACCAAATCACTCCCCCCGCCGTATTATGATGTTGCCCAAGTTTTGGGCTCGATCCAAAATCAATAGGTGTAAGAAATCGGACAATTCAATTTCAAAGGCAATTCGTTCCTAGTTGGGGTGGTTGGTGTATTGGGTAGTTCTAGAGATCGGATTTCACTCAAAATAAACCAAATGACTCCTCCCACCATATTTTGATGTTGCCCAAGTTTTGGGCTCGATCCGAAATCAACAAGTGTAAGACATTAGACAATTCAAGTTCAAAGGCAATTCGTTCCTAATCGGATTGGTTGGTGTGTTGGGTAGTTCAAGAGATCGGATTTCACTTCAACTTAACCAAATGAGTCCTCCCACCATATTACAATGTTGCCCAAGTTTTGGGCTCGATACGAAATCAATAGGTGTAAGAAATTGGACAATTTATGTTCAAAGGCAGTTCGTTCCTAATCGGAGTGGTTGGTGT